ACATTTTCTCTCCCTTAGTCCTCCTTCCTTCATCTTCCCTTCCCTGGTCCTCCTCCTCTTCCCTGGTCCTCTTCCCCTCCTCCTCTCTCCCCTGGGCCTCATCATCCTCCTTCCTGTTTCTTCTCCCTGATGTTCCTCTGTGGACCTCCTCCCCTCTTCCTCCCTCCCCTGGTCCTCCCCCTTGATCCTCTCTCTCCTAATCCTCCTCCCTGGTCCTTCCCATTCTCCTCTTACCTGTTCCCCCTGTTCCTTTCTCTGTAAGCCTCCCTCCCTGGTCCTCCCACCCAGGTCATCTTCCACTCCCTCCTGCCCCCCACCCCCTGCACTGTTCCTCCTCCCCTGTTGGTCAGGGTCATAGTGTGGTGGTCGGGGTGATCAGCACTGACACAAAAAGCCAAGAGACCCCCACCCCCATCCTGCTGGCCATGCTAAGTGAAGGATGAAGGAAGCAGGCCATGCTCAGAGCACCCCTGGGCGCCCACAGGGAGACACAGCCCTCATCCTGAGCAAGCTCCCGGTCTGACAGGGGAGACACTGCTGCTGCTGTAGAGAAATGTCCAGTCTGAGGGGAGGGACAAAGCCTCTCTCTGGGAGACTGGGCCACACTTGCCACTGGAGGACAGCACTCTAGAACATTAAAGAATAGGTACCAGTGGGTGTGGGTTAATAGGGAGCGACTGGCGTCTCAGGTGAAGAACAGAGTGGGCAGGTGGGGAGGCCTGGAAGCCTGGGGTCTGGGAGGCGGGAAGGAGCCTAAAGCCCTTTTAGGATCTGACTTCTGTTCCCTCAGGCTCTGGGGCCCCCTCAGCCAGTTTGCAAGGTAAAGTGGGGAGAGGATGTGAGCCCCAGGCCTAGAAGGGGAACCCACCTAGGCTGTTGCCCTCAGGCCAGGGAAGGGAGAGTGGAAAGAGGGAGAGAGAAGAGGAGGAAGGACAGGGAGGGAGGAAGAGGGAAGGGGGGGGAGAAGGACTGAGGGGAGAAGTCAGTCCCGTCAGGCTGGAGTCTTCTAGCTTGTGGGAAGCAGCTAGAGTTCCCATACATGCCTCCCTCAGGCCCGGGTTCCCCGCCCCAGACTTCCTCTCCACCCATTCCCAGTGGTTCCTGCCCTCCTTCCTTGCCCTGTCTTCCTGCCTCAGTCCCATCTTGGCCACTCAGGCCTCTGGGTCCTTTTGGGGAGGGCCCTGGGCAGCTAATATGGCCCTGCCTGGAAAAGGGGAGGTGTTCTGGGTGCTGTGATGGGTCCACCCGAGGCTGGTGATTCCTGGAAATCAGTCAGAGGGAGGCGGCTGCATCTGCTTGTCCCTGAGGAGGGAGCACCCAGACATCCCTGTGTGTAAGGGGGCACTGGAGGACCCCCTGACTCTGAGTCCCTTAACAGGGAGAAGACTCTCAGGAGCCCCAAGAATGTTCCCCATCTCCCACAGCCTCTGGCATGGAGGGTGGGGCTCTCCTTGGAGCTAGACAGAAATCTTCCCTTGGTGGATCTGGGTGGGGTGGTCCTGGGGCCTTGGGTCTTGGGACAGAGGCTGAGGAGAAGGTGGAGGAAGAGGAGGATTCCCCCACAGAGGGCAGGTGTTGCTGAGGCTGTGTTGGCCAGGCAGGGGCCTGTGGGCTCCTCGGTGGTCCTGCCTCTCCCATCCCAAGTGAGGTTCCCACAGAGGAGAGGTGAGAAGTTCTCAGTGTCTATAGTATGTGGACAGGAGCGGACAGGTGCCCTAGCAGCAGGTGTCTGTGGGTTGAGTGAAAGTCTTTGGGACCCCTGAAGGATTTGAGGCCCTCTCCTCATCAGCTAAGCCAAGGTCCCAGCAGGGAGCCCACCCCTAGACTCCTAGGCCTCTCAGTTTTCTGACCTCACCTGTTAGGCACCCTTTTCCTTGGTGGAGAGGGGAGGTGGCCATGGTTCCTGTTTGTGTCCCTGTCTCTACCCCAGTCAGGGCCCAGCCTCCAACTTCCAAACCATACAACAAGCACCCGCTGCATTCAGGCCATGCCCTGGGTCCTGGGTGGGGTGGGGGGTGGGCACTGTCCTAGAGGGTAACGGTTAATGCTTGCTGGGGGAGCTATTGGAGTCAAGGTCAGCTGGGCTGATGTGGAATGACCTTGGTCAGTATTAATATGTGTCTATTTTTTTAAAGTTAATTTATTTATTTAGGTAATCTCTACACCTAATGTGAGGCCTGAACTCATGACCTGGATAACGAGAGAGTGGCATGCTCTTCTGGCTGAGCCAGCCAGACGCCCCTTAACATGCATTTATGGGACACCAAGCGTATACTGGGGCCCCCAGATTATGATACACTCGGAGGCTTCCATCAACATCACAGGGGTGAGTGTGGTTCCAGGGACCCTTTCCCCACCCCCGTGTTTCTGCTCAAATCTGAGGCAAGGCCTGTCTCCACTGCACTGGTGAGCACGCTGGTTTTTCAGCAACCTCTGGAGAGGAGCCCCAGGGCCTGTGGGGTTAGTCAAGCCTCGGCTGGCATGAGGGCACTCTGGGGGGACTCGGGGTGATCCCAGCCATTCTCTGGCTTCCTCCTCTGGTCCCCTCTGCCACTGTGCTGGCCCCCCAGCAGCTTCCGGGGCTGGAGCTCTTCTTCTCATCCTCCATGTGGGCCAAGCTGCTGACGACTGCAGGGGCCTGTGGGTCTGGTGCTTGGCTGCCAGGGGCCTCTCCCTGCCGGGGGTGGAGGACAAGCCCAGGCAGGAGGCGTCACGGCCGAGAAGACCTCTGTGCAGCCCTCCAGCGAGCTCCTGTCAGACCTTCCCCCCCTCACGGGGAGAGTGGGAGCAGCTGAGGCCCTAGCTCTGCTGCTAAGGCCGGGCCCCCCCAGCCTGGCCCCTCCTTCCTGCTTGCCCTGCAAGGGCCCTTTGCCTCAGTTTCCTCTCCATACTGCTGGGAAGATGTGGCGAGGGCTGTCCCAGAGCTGTGTAAGAGGGCTGCCCAGGTCTGCTTAAGCCAGATATAGTCGTATTCTCCAGAGGGCCAAGGAGGCCTTCTGGGGTCTAAGTCTGCCCTTTCACTCAGCATGTGAGGCCTTTCTGGGTTGGGGTGCCCTCAGGGATCCACAGACAGTGGCTCTCCCTCCAAAGAGCAGAGACAAAGGGCCTGGGAGTCACCAGGGTGGGGAAACAAGCCCAGACTGGGGCACTCAGTCTGAGGTCATGGTGGCGGGGGGTGGCTTGAGGGACCAGATGGTGGTGCTGGTAGGTGAGGCCTTGGTGATTTTGGAGGGAGGAAGGAAGGTTCATAAATTCTCTCCTCCCTGAAACTGAGACTTAAGACTAAGGTCTGGGAGCTTTGGAGGCAGGGTGAGGGCTGAGCTGGGGGTTCAACTTCAGGTTCCATGTGGAAGGCAGACACCCAGTGAGGCCTGCCTGGAGGGAGCAGGTCAGGTAGCTCCTGGGGGAGAGGGCTCCCTGTGGGCGTGGCTGCGCAGGGATGGGAGAGTCTGCATTGGGTGTTCTGTGCCAAGGTGAGCTGCTGGTACAGGGCCCGTCTCTGGCCCACTCAGGGAACCCCGGGTCCTCCCCACAGACCATCTTGGATGGCCAGGAAGTCCTTCTTGATGTCTCACCTCATGAGAGAATCCTGGTGGTCTGACCTTGCCCCCTCACCTTGGCTTTGGAGCCGCTTCTCCACCCTCCCACCCTAACAACCCTGGGGACCCCCAGAATTCACAGGCAGGGCCGGAGCAGGGTTAGGTTGGGGCTCGTCCCCTCTCTCCCAGATAGCTTGCGCTGTCTCCACTTCCCAAGCCAGGAGACATCCTCCCCTGAGAGGACCCCCAATTTCTAAGCAGGAAGTCCTTCCCACAGTCCAGCCTCAGCATGGGTGCTCTGGCCTGCACGGTAGACCCAACTCCCTCCCTGTCCCCGTGTGTGGGCTGAGAGCCTAGGCCACCCACATGGGAGCCTATTTCGCCCTCCCCTGCCTGTCCCTCAGGCACTGGCCACCCCTGGAAGCTCCCCATTCAGACGGGCCTGGGGCAGACGTCAGTGTCCCGGCAGCGCCTAAATCGTTAGCGCCGAGGAGATTAGGCTGTAATCTCTTGTTGGGCGCGGGCGGGTGCCAGCTGCCAGGATGTGGGATGGCACTGCTCCCTCGCTGGGGCAGCCCTTCCCCGGGGCACAGCGCTAGCCGTAGCAGCCTGCTGCATGGGCCCTGCTTTGCCTCCTCTGGGGGCCCCTCTAGAGTGGCTTTCCTTCTCTGCCTCATTCTGTCCCCTCTGGTCTCAGAGCCCTGACCCCAGCTTTCCTGATGCCCCCATCTCTCTAGATTCCCTCAAAGACCGCGGGAGGCAGGAATTACCCTCGTTTTACAAATGAGGAAATCAAGACTTGTGAATTGACTTCCTGTAAGGCTTGGATCCAAAGCTCCCTCAGGCCAGCAGCCATGTCAGTTCCCCTCAGATCCAGATCCCTCAGGCCGGGGTCTGTGCCCTCTCCCACAGATGTGGACTCATCAGCTGGGGGTTGAGGTGGATTCCCCCCACCTCGGCCTGGGGGCTCTCTCAGGGCCACATTGTGCCTGGGAGAGGGTGTCACCCTGAATTTCTCCACCCTTCTTCCTGGGGCCCAGGAATGCTGGTTGGGGGGCCAGACCAGCCTCTGGGTTCCAGGCCTGTGGAGCCTTGTTCCAGGCCCAGCTGGCTCCTAGGGCTGGGTTCTCCGGACTGCCCCCAAGAATGAGCTCAGCTGCCTAATTGTGGCTGAGGATGGAGGTTCATCCTCCCCCGGGGCTGCGGCTCCAACACCACCTTTGTTTCTGAACAGACAATGGGCCGCTAAGAGGCCACCTGCCCAGGCCAGGAATAGGCAGGAGAGGGGGCCCCCCCGAGGGAATGCACTCAGCATGTCCGGCCTGAGCCCCAGGCCCTGGGTGGCTGGTACAGAAGCAAATTACATGGCTGGGGTTTTGGCTCTGACTTCAAGGGCCGGGGGGCCCAGCCCCGCTTTAGCCTGGCTATAAAGGGCTGCCTGGGGTCCCTGTCCAGACCAGACCCTGCTCCTGACCTGTGGACACCATGACTGCCACCACCACCAGCATCCGCCAGTTCTCCACCTCCGGCTCTGTCAAGGGCCTGTGTGTGCCTGGTGGAAGCTTCTCTCGGATGTCCTCCGTTCGTGTTGGGGGCGCCTGCCGGGCCCCCAGCCTCCTGGGAGGCAGCAGCTGTGGCAACATGTCTGTCACCTCCTCCCGCTTCTCGGCGGGCTTGGGGGGCGGCTATGGCGGGGGCTACACCTGCAGCCTGGGTGGGGGCTTCGGATCCAGTTTCGGCGCGGGCTTTGGCTCCGGTTTCGGCGCTGGCTTCGGTTCCTCGGACGCCCTGCTTGGGGGCAGCGAGAAGGAGACCATGCAGAACCTCAACGACCGGCTGGCCTCCTACCTGGAGAAGGTGCGAGCTCTGGAGGAGGCCAACACGGAGCTGGAGGTGAAGATCCATGACTGGTACAAGAAGCAGGGGCCCGCGCCCGTCCGCGACTACAGCCACTACTTCAAGACCATCGAGGAGCTGCGGAATAAGGTGTGTGGGCCGGGCAGCTCCCTGCCCTCTGCCCTCTGTCCTTAGGACCTTCTGCAAAGTTGGGATCCCTCCCAACTTTGAACCCTCTGTGTCTGGCTCTCTGCCTGTCTCACCTCCTAGAGGAGGTTCAGTCTATGCCCTATGCCCTGTTCACTGTGCTGATTTCACAGAGTCTGGCATATTCTCCTAGCTGGTTTCATTGTGTGTCTTCCTCACTCTGTCCATACTGGTCTTTCTGGGGGTCCCTGAGGGAGGGAGCTATGTCTTCCCACTCAGACTGGAAGCTTCCAAGGGAAGGCGTTTCTCTGTTAGTCTGAAGGCGAATACAACACACCCACATGCTCATGACCTCCAAGAACAGGGCCTTGGCATTCTGATTCTGTGAATGTGGCATCTGGGTCTTCCGCACAAGCCTCCTCCTGGAGGGTCCTCTGGTGCTGCAGCCCCCAGAGGCAGGTGAAAGTTCAAGGAAGTGTGGAGATGTCTGGGGGGAGGGCGGGCTGGGGCCTGCTCTTTCGTGGTGCAGAACCAGGTCTCGTGCTTGCCCTGTGAGGGGCTTTGCCTGCTCCTGCCCGGGACCTCAGCCAGGAAGGGAAATCCTGCAATTGCCCCCTGGAAGCAGAGCTCCTGGGAGTGCCAGATCAGATACCCGGCTTGGTCTGAGCAGTGGGAAGCCCAGGGGAGCCCTGGTGAGTCAGCGTTCCAAGCTCTGGGGTCAGCCAGCTGCTCACCATCAACCCCCAGTGCCTGGAGCATCAGGCCTCCGCCCCTCAGAATCACCGCACCCCTCGGGGGTTTTCCCAAGGGCCCCTCTCGAGGCCCTATCAGCCTCCTGAGCAGGGAAGTGGGGGGGAAGGCAGGTCTGTAGGCCACCGAGGGCTGGGTTGGTCTTGCTCTGGAAACAGGGTCTGACCCAGGGTCACGTCACAGGGCCTTCCGGGGGCTCAGAGGCCCATAAAGAGGCTATTGGGGCTACTTGGGCCTGCTGGGGCTGCCTCCTCTGACTTCTTTCTGCACAACAGCCTGCAGCCTTAGAAATGTCTGGATTCTTCCTAGCTCATCTGCTGCCTCCACTGAGACCTCCTCTTTCCTCCCCCCACATGGCTCTTGAGTACAGCCTCTTGACATTTCTCACAAAAGCAGTGGCAGCCGTAGTCATAATAACTGACCCTCTGCTCCCTCTAGAGCTCCTTCCCTGTTCTCCTTTAAACCTCTCTGACGACCCTGTGGGAAAAGAAAACTTTGCTCCAGGTTTCAGCTGGGGCTGGTCATAATCTTATTCATTCATTAATTAGTTGCTTAATTAAACTAATGTTTCCTGGGGGGTGACTGCGGGATGCGTATTTTGCCCAGGGCTAGGGATTCCGAAAAGAATGGTCACCGATGAGGTCTTGTCCGCCTGGAGCGCAGAGCCCGTTGAAGGAAATAACCAAAGAAGTCACGGAAGAATCACAGTTGGGAGAAATGCTGTGAAAGAGGATGGGCCGGGAGGAGGGGAGTTGAGGAGGGCTTCCTGGAGGAGGTAGCAACTGAGACTAGAGGTCAGTTTAGTTGAAGAAAAGAGAGGGAGGTCCCTCCAGCTTGGGCAGGGGAGGGTGACTATGTATGGGTCTCTGTCCTGGCCTCATGGCTACCGGTGCCCTCACCATCCTGGGAGCCTTCCAAGAGGGTGCTCAAAGGGGGAGGTTGTGGGAACCCTCATCTCTTCTAGTTGGCTCACTTTCAAAGGGCAGCAAGGAGGGTATTGCCGGGCCTTCCCATGGTTCTTGCTCACCTTGCCCACTATGCCCCCCAGATCCTGGCGGCCACCATCGACAACGCCAGCTTGGTCCTACAGATCGACAATGCCCACCTGGCAGCCGATGACTTCCGCACCAAGTGAGTCTGGGCTTCCGGGGCTGCCCCCGGAGGCTGGTGCTGGGTCGGGCTCCACACACCAGAAATATCTGTGTGTACAAGGGGGTGTCCTGGGGCCCCCCCTTGGCTCATGCCTCCGCCCTTTCCAGGTACGAGACGGAGCTGAACCTGCGCATGAGCGTGGAGGCCGACACCAACGGCCTGCGCCGGGTGCTGGATGAGCTGACCCTGGCCAGAGCCGACCTGGAGATGCAGATCGAGAACCTCAAGGAGGAGCTGGCCTACCTGAAGAAGAACCATGAGGAGGTGAGGTGGGCCCTGGGGAATGCAGGAGAGACTCCTACAAGGAGCAAGGGGATTGGTGGCCCTGGCCCCCAAATCCTCCCGGGCTGGGGCCACGCCCTCAATCCAGCTCCCATCTCTGGTGGGTTTCTGGCGCCGACCCTGGGAGACCCTCGGAGGGCCCTGCGTGAAGCCTGGAGGTCCCTCTCCCCCCAAAGATACTTCCCTTGTCCCTCAAGGCACAGTCTACCGAGTGGTGGCAGTTAACTATCTAATGAGCAAATCAGCCCAAGAACATGCATGCTAATTACTCCAATTAATTGTAATAGTGATAGTCATAACAACAGCCCAAATCTGCTCAGCACATTACAAGTGATTCATGGCAATTAGCTCAGCTGATACTGACATTGGCGCTGGGTGCGGGGTGCTCTTCCCTCCCTTTCCCGGTAAAGAAACAAGCTCAGAGAGGTTAAGGAATTTACCCAAAGCCACACAGGTCTATCTGACCCATGTTCACACCCAGGTCTGACCTCACCATGTTGCCACCACTCCTACCTCCCTTTTTCATAGAGTTTGGGGTCCTAGGGATCCTAAGGCTCAACACAAGGATGGGGATCCCAGACCCTGTAGGAGGACTAATGAACCTGCCGCTTCCTTCTCAGCTGATCTCTGGGCTGGCCTGAGCTGGGGGAGAATAATCTTTGAGTAACAGGAGCCCAGAAAGTGTTTCCACTTGACTTTGAGGCTGGTCATAGGGATTGCATCCCTGCAATAGTTAACATTTCCTAATGAGGTCTGGCTCTGCGCTGTTACCAACACGGGGCTGCTTTCCTTGTGCCCGTACTGTGTGGTTGTGGTAGGGGATAAGGCAGGCAGTCAGGGCCGTGAGGCTGTCTGACTTATCCCCTAACATGTTGGGGAGTTAGCATCTCTCTTTGCCCAGCACATATCAGAACGGGGCAAAGTCCATCCCCGAGTGCACGTTGGGGGAGATGGTCCATATTCGCAGCCCTGCGTGTTTGTGACAAGGTAACATCTGCTCCATCTTCAAGGGGAGGAACCATTAGGCGTCTATGTCTGTCTGTCTGTCATCTGTACCCATCTCCCTGAGGCAGAGAAGGCAGGCCCCAGGGTCTCTCCCTGGAATGGCCCTGGTGAAATCCTGCTCTCCTCTTGCCTAGGAAATGAATGCCCTCCGAGGCCAGGTGGGTGGGGACGTCAGCGTGGAGATGGATGCTGCCCCCGGCGTGGACCTGAGCCGTATCCTGAATGAGATGCGCGACCAGTACGAGAAGATGGCGGAGAAGAACCGCAAGGACGCTGAGGACTGGTTCTTCAGCAAGGTGGGTGGCCGCGTGTGAGCAAGTGTGCACATGTGTGCATACGTGTGCTGGGTGTCAGGGCTGGGCTGGAAAACCTGTAGATCCACAGGCTGTCCCAGCTGGAAGGACCTTTGGAAACCAGTTGGACCCAGTGCTCATGTCTAGATGCAGAATGGGAGGCTCAGAGAGGCCTCAAGCTCGCACAAGCAGCACCGTGGCTCAGGGAACAGGTCCAGATCTCGTCATCTCTGTCTAGGACTTCTCCCAGCACATTTGTAGGTGTGTATGCTTTTGGAAGAATAACTCATGCCCGTAGTAGACACACACTGAGCAGCTACAGGGCCCAGCACAGTAACGGGCATGGAGTAAAACCCAGTTCCTGTCTTTGAGCAGTGCTCAGTAGGAGCATCAAATACAAAGCAAGGTCCATCGACCAAAGGCTGGTAGGCACAGAGGGTTTCTGGGTGCTGGTGTGTCTGAAGCCCCACAGAGGCCAGGGAGAGGAGGGAGGAGGGAGGCAGTCTGGGAGGTCAGGGCTCAGGGGCGGATGCTGTCCTCTGCCCCATCTCTGCAATTTCTCCAGTCCCTGTCACCCACCCTGCCTTTCAGACAGAGGAGCTGAACCGGGAGGTGGCCACCAACACCGAGGCCCTGCAGAGCAGCAGGACAGAGATCACTGAGCTCCGCCGCTCAGTGCAGAACCTGGAGATTGAGCTGCAGTCCCAGCTCAGCATGGTAGGACCCCCGGCCCCCTCCCTGGCCTGTACCCGTCACCCCGGGATGGGCCCAGCCTCACAGACGTCTGCTCAGAGAAACCTGAATTCCCCACCCAGCCTGTCACTTCACACTCAGTGACATGGGCCCCTCTCTGCCCCCTTTACTGCCCCGTGGCGTCGGCAGCACCCACAAGCCCACACTGGAGGAGGGGGTCCCCCTTCTGGGTCCTCACCCTGGAGGAGGGTCCCAGCTTGGTCTCACCCGGCCATGTCTACACTGGCCCACAGAAATCCTCGCTGGAGGGCAGCCTGGCGGAGACCGAGGCCCGCTACGGGGCCCAGCTGGCCCAGCTGCAGGGACTCATCAGCAGCATCGAGCAGCAGCTGTGCGAGCTCCGCTGCGACATGGAGCGCCAGAACCAGGAGTACCAGGTCCTGCTGGACGTGAAGACGCGGCTGGAGCAGGAGATCGCCACCTACCGCCGCCTGCTGGAGGGCGAGGACGCCCAGTGAGCGGGGGCACTGGGGCATATGCCTGGCTCGGCTGGGGGTGCTTCATCTAGGCGGGGACGTTGGTGCTGAGGGGACAGCACGGGCAGAGGCCAGCAGGCACAGAGGTTTGCAGGAGGTGACACGGGGAGCACTGACTGGGGCCCCACTGTTGGGGAGCGCTGAAGACCAAATGAAAGCATCTGGGCTAGATCACGTGGGAAGTGGGGAGCCACGGAGGGATTTTGCACAGAGGAGTGGTGCTATTGTCAAGATGTCTTAGAACATCCACTCTGGCTGCATAGGGAGAAATGCATCAGTGGGGCCCCAGTGGGGTCAGGGAGACCTGTTGGGAGGCTGGAGCGCAGTGTTAGGCCAGGGCAGCCCTACTGTAAGGCGGGGGTGTAGGGCCGGGACAGGAAGGTGGTGTGTGAGGAGGATGTATGGTAGGTAAGAACAGCAGGGCTAGTTGCCTAAATGTGGGGGTGAGCGTGGCTTGCTGGCGGGAGGCAACACATGGTGAGTGAGCACATGAGGGAGTGGGGCGCGATGACCCTGGCTTTCTGGTTCTGATGACTGTGTGGCTGGTGACGCCATTACCAGGGACAGGAGGAAGAGAAGGGTGGGTGGTGATCTGGTTAGAGCTGGGAGGGTAGATCAGGGCCCTGCCGTACAGTGACTGAGAATGTCCTGGAGTCTCCACACTAAGTCACGCCGTCCAGCTTTTTGCTCCTTGACGATAGTGAGGTCAGCCTGTAGTCTAACCACAGTCTCGCAAGCTTTAATAGAGTCTATTTGTTGGGCCCTTTGGGATATGGGAAAACCTCTCTCTCAGCTTCTCCTTGTAAAACGCTGGTTAGCCACAAAGCGCCTCTGGGTCCTCTTTTGGGGTGTCCCCTTTCTTCTGTCCTGTCTACTGGGCCTGTGCCCTTTGACCCTTATGGTTGCTAATCTTTTCCATGTATTCTCAGCTGTGATTTCTCTCTCGTTTGCCGGGACCTCTCTCCCCTCACCCCAGGCCTTCCCAGCTGCTCCTCCTCCAGGGGACCAGGCTCTGTGCCGGCACCCCTGTACTGACAGGCCCCCTTTTCCCTCTCTGCAGCCTGGCCACGCAGTACTCCTCTTCCCTGATCTCACAGCCCACCCGGGAAGGTAAGAGGCTGCCCCATCTGGCTTGGCAGGAGTGGGGAGATGTCGAGGACCCTTCTGTGTGGAAGACTGGGGGAGGGGCTCTGGCCTGAAGTTCCCTGTGTCCCCTCCTCCACGGCCTGCAGGCACAGTGACCACCCGCCAGGTGCGCACCATCATGGAAGAAGTCCAGGACGGCAAGGTGGTGTCCTCCCGAGAGCAGGTCCACCGCTCAACTCACTGAGGCCCCTTTCCACCTGTGACAGGGAGAGGGTCATGAGGCAGCCATCTCCCTGGGCTCCCAGCATGCTACTGCCGCGCCCTGAGTGCCCATCTGGGCCACCACCCAAAAGCTGTTGCCTTCCTGTGTCTGTTTCCTGCAACCCCTCCCTCAGGGGGCCTCCTGGAATTGCCCCAGTGACTGCTAGTAAAGCTTTGCCTGAAGTTCAATGTCTCGTGTGATCTGGTCTGGTCATTGGCATAAGGCAGTGTGTGCTGAGGGACTCCGGGAAGAGGATGATTTATGGAGTGTTTGGATGTCACTTGTCACCTGCCAATCTGTTCTGACCACGTCTTCCAGGCCTGGGGCTCCCGGGAGGGCCAGAGAGAAGAAAGCAGCAGAGCGAGGGCGGAGGGATGGGAAAGCCCATCAGGCTGGGAAAGTTTCTAAGAATCAGTCTGTGGGTTGCTGTGGGTCCCCACGGGCTGGTCCCTAGGAGGGCCCCACAGACTTTCTGGGGAGCCACGCCTGTTATAAGGAACTCCCTACCTCAGCCTGGGGCAGGTCTGGGTTCAAGATCAGAGGGGGGGGGCTGGGCAGGGGGTTTTCCAAAGGCGTGGTCCAAAGCGTTGATGGATGAGAGGGGGTGGCAGTGGCAGAGCCAGCCCTGGAAGCCAGCTCGGCCCCACTCGGGGTGTGTGTGAGGTGGGGTGGCCACTCCGTGTGTGAGCGTGGGGGGCGTCCTGTTTGCTTTGGTGGCTTGGCAGCTGCTGGGCTGTTGGGGAATCTCTCTCAGCTGCTGGCAGGGGCTGTCTGGGCCTGTCGGGGAAGTGGAAGCCATCAGCAGTCTGAGACAGGACTGCATTCCATCCAGCAGGCCCGCGGGGACCCTGGACCCAGGGCCAGGCTGGGAGTGGTGGGCAAGGCAAGGCGGAGCTGGGTGGCACAGGGCCTGTCTTGAGGGTCCCCATCAGGGGCCTGGGTGGGCCTCTGGGGAAGGCTTGGGAGAGGAGCCTGGCTGGGGGTTCTCAGGTAGACATTTAGACAGTGTCCTTGACATTTCCAGCTGGCTGGGACTTGAGGTATACACCCCTCACCTCACCTGGAGGTCTCTTCAGGTATAGGAAGGTTAGGTAAGGGTGACAGGCGACATGGCTCTCATCATTTTCCCGTCCCTTTTTACCAAGATGCTCTCTTCCCAGCCTGCCGGGTCCCCATCGACGGCCATGCTCTTCTTTGTCCACGCTGGCCCAGGACTCGCCCCTGCAGCAGGCTGGTGGGGAAAGGTCACAGGAGGAGGCTGGGTCACTGAGGTTTCCAGGGTTAGGGGCAGTGTCCGAGAAATGGGTGGGTGGACTCCTAGTTCCTGGAGTGTTTTGTTGGTGTTGGGGCTCTGCAGAGGGCGGGGGCAGGGTGTCGGGCCCCAGGGGAGCGTGAGGGGCCGTGGCATAGTGGGGGATGAAGGTGCAGCAGCCCCGCCAGCCCAGTTCTGCAGTAAGGTGGGGGCAGTGGGGCCCCATCCCTCTTGGAGCCCCAGTTTCCTTATCTGTAAAATGGGACGGTAACCTGAGAGGCACCGTATTGTTCCGTAAGCCCAGCGGGCTTAGGTCTAATTTCCGAGGCAGGGCAGGGTCTCTGTCCTCGCTGTCTCCCCGGCCACCAGCTCAGGGGCAGGACTGCGTGTGGTGTGGCCTGTGGTGGAGGAGAGCGGCCTCAGAGCTGGGGGCTGCCTGGTTCCCCAACCGGTTTCCCCACCAGACACCGGGGCCAGGTGGGCCGGGCTGGGGTGGCAGCTGCCTGGGAGGGCCTGGTGACGGTGACGTCCTGCTGCTCCTCTTCTCCGTATTAGGTCATGGGAAAGCATAGCTGGAGGGCCTGCCTGAATCACAGGTGACAGGCCCGAGACCAGAGACACGCACACGCGAAGGCAGACACCCAGCACCAGGGTTCGGAGAAGTGAGGCAAAGGCCCGATGGTGGGAGGGGAGGGGGGCCCACAGCCACCTGGGAGCTGGCGTGTGGCCAGCGGTGATGAAAGCTCAGGGGAATGGAAACAGAGGAGCGAGCCTGTTGTAATCGCTACGCCCACCTGGCGGCCTATAAAGAAGGCGGGCGAGCGCCAGCAGCAACTCGCATCTTGGGCCTCGCTCCTGTCTAGCCCTCCTGCTCCGAGCCCGCCGGCTGCCACCATGACCACCACCATCCGTCAGTTCACCTCCTCCAGCTCCATCAAGGGCTCCTCCGGCTTGGGGGGCGGCTCGTCCCGCACCTCCTGCAGGCTGTCTGGTGGCCTGGGGGCTGGCTCCTGCCGGTTGGGGTCCGCCGGGGGCCTGGGCAGCGCCCTCGGGGCCAACAGCTACTCCAGCTGCTACAGCTTTGGCTCTGGGAGCAGTTATGGTGGTGGCTTCGGGGCCGTCGACGGGCTGCTGGCGGGTGGGGAGAAGGCCACCATGCAGAACCTCAACGACCGGCTGGCCTCCTACCTGGACAAGGTGCGGGCCCTGGAGGAGGCCAACACGGAGCTGGAGGTGAAGATCCGGGACTGGTACCAGAAGCAGGCCCCGGGGCCCGCCCGTGACTATAGCCACTACTACCAGACTATCGAGGACCTGAAGAACAAGGTACGGCCTGCTGGGGGGGACAGGACCCTTGGGAGGGGCATGACTTCTCTCCCATCTCCTTCCCTTGACCGTGGCCTGGAGTTAGGCCGGTGGGAGAGCTGCCACAGGGTCTCAGGGGCTCTAGGACAGCGTGGCTCTGACTGGCTTGGCCTCTGGGAGCCCACCTTGGAGTCACAGTGTGGCCCACATTCCCCTTTTTGGGGGGCGGCAGCTAAGCCAGGGACAAGCAGGTCTCATGGAGCTGCTCTGAGCCTCAGTTTCCTCATCGTTGGGCTTGTTGCCATCAGCTCACTTAATTGTAGGATAAGATGAGTGGATGCACATAGAGGCTGGGCCCATGGAGCTGCCAGATATGTGGGTACCTCTCTTCTTGAAGCAAGAGGGGGATTTTGGGTGATGGTTGTTTGAGGGGTCTAGTGAGCTCCTGATGGCACCTGCTGGGAAGAGGAAGTGGAGAGAGGGGGCAGGTCCTAAGGAAGGCGTCTGTGTGCCTTATTTGGGGATTTTTGTGGCTTCTCCATCCCTCCCACTGCCCCCTCAAGAATGGGGCTCAGCAAACCTCCAAAGGCAGAGCTGCCTGCTGGAGTCTGGGGTTAGGGCCTAGCAGGGGTCATGACTTCTGATGTGGAACTATTCTTTGGTGAGGGGTCCTGTAGGATCCCTTCTTGGGGAGCCTCTTGGGTACAATCTCCCCAACTGTAAAATGAGGGGGTTGTTCATCTCCCCTTTTCTGTCTGGGATTCTGGGACAACTTCTGCCCCCGGGGGCCTTTCTTCTCTTCCTAGCTGGGCACTCCCAGCTGGCTGCCTGCTCTAGTGGAGGGGTTCTGTTGGGGGAGGCAGGTCAGGGTGGGCAGGGAGAAGAGGCAAGTTTCGGCTCCTCAGACTCCTGCCGGCCCCGCCTCAGCCAACAATGATTGCCGGCAAAGGTGAGAGGCTGGGCAGGAAGAGAGTCTTCCCGGAGAAGGCAGCCACATCCTGGCCTCGAGGCAGGAAGATCCTTCTTGTAACTTAGGGCTGGGCTGAGCTTCTCCCTCCCAATGACCTTACTGCTTTCCCGTCTCCCCAGATCCTCACGGCCTCTGTGGACAACGCCAACATCCTCCTGCAGACTGACAATGCTCGCCTGGCCGCTGATGACTTCCGGACCAAGTGAGCCCTAGCCAGTGGGCTGGTTGGAACTGGGGCACCCCTCCCACCCCAGGACTACAGTTGCTGTGACGAGGGCTAGGAGCTGGGGGTTGGGGGAGTCCACCTCTTAGTCACGGATGTGGCAAATGCAGGAGATTCTGAAGGTCACTGGGCTTAGGCGGGGAGGGGGAGGGGAGGCAGGAGGCAGAGGAGAGAGATGCTGGAAGCTGCGTGAGGGTGGGACTTTGCCCTGCGTGGTCCCAGGGCCCTGGGGCTGCAGTATGCTGCCACTCCACAAGCCCCCTCTCCGCCCCCATCAACCCTCCCAAGCTCTTAGAGCCCTGGCAGAGGCCGGGTGCTGGCCGGGACACGGACCTGCACGTCCAAGCATCAAGACGAAGTTTCTGGTTCCTTTTGCAGGTTTGAGACGGAGCAGGCCCTGCGTGTGAGCGTGGAGGCTGACACCAATGGCCTGCGCCGGGTGCTGGACGAGCTGACCCTGTCCAGAGCCGACCTGGAGATGCAGATCGAGAACCTCAAGGAGGAGCTGGCCTACCTGAAGAAGAACCATGAGGAGGTGAGGGGGGTGGGGCAGCAGGTCAAAGAGGCTACGGAGGGGGCAGCAGAGCTCTGGGGGTGCGCCGAGGCTGAGACCATAGGAAGAGCTCAGAGCAGGTGCTCCAGGGTTGGTCACCTTACAGGGTGACCTGGTCCCCATGGAGGGTAGCCTCCTCCATGTACCACCCCTCTGCCCAGCATCTGGGGACCCTCCCAGGGCCTGAAGAGGCCTCTTCTGCCCATCCTGACCTTCCTCATGAGGACAAGGGGTGATTGAAGAGGTCTCTTTGTTCCAGCTCAAACCTTTGAACCTGGACCCTATGTGGAAGTTTGGGAATTAGAGGGGATATTTTAGGGGTACAGACCTAAGAATTAGATTTTTTCTTTGGAGACCCCTCAGTCTAATGGGGGAGACAGAGAACCTGTCCACAGGGAACCCCCAGTCTGATGGTGGAAGCAGAGCCCATACAGAGCAGATGAACAAGAGTCAACAGGAGGGGTAGAGGGTAGAGGATAGGCAGAGTGAAGGAGGGCTCCTTGGGGAGGGGTCTGGAGCACTTGTCTGGGAAGGGTTGGAAGTAAGAGATCAACACAGGCCTGAATGCCCATGCCCACAACCTCTGCCCCTGCAGGAGATGAACGCCCTCCGAGGCCAGGTGGGCGGTGAGATCAACGTGGAGATGGATGCTGCTCCCGGCGTGGACCTGAGCCGCATC